AAGGTCAGTGAAATCCCCTCAGGATTTATCCTGAGATCCTGTACCTCAGATTGTAGATCCTTTGTCAGTGTCAGCCATGTGGATGAGTCACGGCCATTGGTTGGCCAATGTGCTCCCTGTGAAAGCCTGAGAGAATGTTTTCTCTCCATGTGACTCTCCTTAGGCACACTCTACATTACCAATCACTTTCCTCTTTGGCCCCATAATCTCTTTGATCAGAAAATTTGGGACACAACCGAGTTACATGACGTTACAGTACAAGATCTCATATGTCCTGAGTCTTAATTGACCTTGGAAGGCTAGGGCCAAAATGTTGGCTTTCCTTGCGGCCCTCCTTTTTCTCTCATTTTGGTCTGCAAACTTAGCTTGTTAACCATCCAGAAGACAAGCTTATTGTTATTACCACACAACATAGGCTGTTAAGCTTAACCTCACTATCTGTCTGCATCTCAAACATCTTAGGCATAACATGGAACAAATATTTTTCAAGTATTGATATGTTGAAGTTTAAGTCCCTACAGAATATGATGAAAAAACATTTAAAAATTAAAGTATATTTTAAAAATAGGCATAAAGAATTATATAATTCTTACATTTACACATCAGTCCAGAAATCTAACCATATACAATCTTGTAGCAGGGCAGTCCCACAACATTTCTTTTCCTGTCTCCTGCCTTCATTCACCACCTCCTTCTTTTTGAACTATCATCTACCCAAGAGACAGCACAGCAGCAACTGGCATGTCATGACAAGCAGCCAGTATTCAGAAGACCAGAATGACAGGCACTCCAAGCATGAACCTACTATTATAAATTGCCATCTTCAATGCAGTTGCTTAGTTCACAGGTGTCTGTATATATAGTTAGTCAGGGTGAGAATCCTTCCAATTAACTGCTAGATTCAAAATTTTTGTGGAGATTCTCAGGATCATTGCCTTACTCATGTTGTGCATATAACTGTATGGCTTGCCCTGTCATGTTTCCTAGCTCTTCTCCTTGCTCTCTTTTCATTGTCTAGTCCTAAAGTTCTTGCTTTCCTTTTAGTTGTATTATACCTTTCTACTTGTATTTCTTCTTTTGAGTTCTTATACTAGGGAGACTATATGATATTACACATGTGTGTCTGGTTTATTTCACTTATGAGTATATGTTCAAGTGGCATCCACTTCAATATAAAGGCTTCGAGTTTATCATTTTTTATAGCTGAGTACTACTCCATTATATAAAAATACCACATCTTTTTCATCTATTCCTCAGGTGATGGGCATCTTGGTTGTTTCCAAGATTTGGTTATCACAAATTGTGCTGCTATAAACATAGAATGTGTGCTGCTTCTAGTGTCATATCAATTACTGCTATACTCTCTCTCAATAAATGTTTGTTTAAAAAAAAGTAATGAAGGAAAACAAGGAACAAGAAAAAATGTCATAGGCTGTCCTGCTACAATGTTGTATATGGTTAGATTTCTAAATTTCTGTGTAAAAATGTGTAACTGTTTTTATTTATCTTTTTTCACATTGTGCAGGGATTTAAAGTTTAGCATATCAATGATTTATGGAAAATACCTGTTCCATGTTATAGTTAAGGTGTTTGATATTTAGACAGATAGTGATGCTAAGCTCAACTACCTATGTTGTAGGGTAATAATATCATTAAGCCTCTCTTCTGGAGGGTTAACAACTTAAGTTTGCAGAGCAAAAAATTAGAGAAAAAGAAGGGCTACAGGACAGCCAACATTTTATCCCTAGTCCTTCAAGGTCAGTGAGAACTCAGGACATTGGAGAACCTGTACTGTAATATCCTGTAAATCAGAGGTGTCCTGAATTTTCTGATCAGGGAGATTATAGGGCCACCGAGGAAAGTTATCAACCATGTATATTGTGTCTAAGGAGAGTCATGTGGAGAGAAAACATTCTCTCAGGCTTTCACAGAGAGCAAATTGGTCAAGCAATGGCCATGACTCATCCACATGACTGACAATGACAAAACATCTACAAACTGCAGTACAGGGTTTCAGGATAAATCCTGAGGGGATTTGACTGAACTTATCATATACCAAAGTTACATTTCTTGATATATAGGTCTTGCTTTATCTTGGTCTTAACCATCCAGCATAAACGTATAAACATGAGGTATAAAAAGTAAAGCCATATTAATATGCTGAGCTATAAAAGGCTCAAGTCAACAACTTCTGACATTGCCAGTCCTGCAGAAAACCCAGTGCTATTGTGGTCCACTGGACTATATTGGCTTATTTTGCTGTAATCACTCACCTACAATGTTTGAATAGCAATGGAATGCCCATCTCTGACAAAACTAAACAAAAAAGGGGGATATAAATGAAGGACCATTTTGTAGTGAAAAAAAATCTGTATATACAAGTTAGTAGGATAGATACACAGCTACTTTCTCTTAGTTCAATGAGAAGAAAGATTTTTACTAATAGTGTTTAGACAAGATATCATGTTTGTATCTTATACTATGTATAATTACTATGAAGACAATAACATGCAGTGTATTAATTGTTGTAACTGTCCTACTAAACTGTTTTGGAGGTTATTGTAACCTACTAACCTACTTGACTGTCTTATTGCTATTTCTTTCCCAATGAAATTAATTTAAAAAAAGGTAAAAATAAAGTAAGATAAAATAAAATAAAATAAATAATTGTAAAAAAAAAAGAAGGGGGTACTCTAGCCAGCCGACCCAGGAGTGGCTGGGCTGGGACACAGTAGAGCTCTCGCGGTGAGGGGGGCGCCGCCCTTGTCTTCTGCTCTCTGTTACCGCTTCCTGGTAAAATGTTTCCTGTTCAGGTTCTATAAATCCTGCTGGGCTTGGGCAGCGTTATACTCCAGAGGCCTCAGATTGCCTCACTCCATACTTTCCCTCTTCAGGGGACCTCTCAGTTTTGTCAGCTCATCGTAGGGAGAAAAGCTCTCACACTAGGGTGGGAGAGTATCAGATGAGTGGCGCAGGCAGGAAGATAGCCATCTGTGTCGTGACCACGCCGCCCCAACCGCCTGCCGAGAACCCGCCGGGAGAGGAAGTCCTCCGCGTCTCAGTTGAACAGCGCTCTGCATTCCTGGACGGCTTCCTTGACAGACATGGACACCCAAGACAGGAGCAGGGCAGAGCTTGCGCTCCCAAATCCACAGGAGCAAGCTGGGTAAGCGAAGGCTGCTGTGTTCTGTTCTCCATCATTTATCAGGCCAGAGAAAGTCACAGTGCTGGGATGACAGATGCCAATTCATGGATGTGCCCATGGCCTCACCTAGTTTACTTCAGGCATTGGCCAGGAGGTGGTGCCTTCCCAGAGAGTCTCTCCCTCTGGCAGGGAGAAGGATTTTCACTCTGCTTGTACGCTGGTAGTAATAGGCTTTCTAACACTAGCGGCTCATGTTTTGGGTACGAAGAAGTGGTCTGTGTCACTCCTGTAGTGCTCTTTCCTCTGGGGCTGGCATATAGCAGGGGACAGAAACTTTACAAAAGACTGTGATTGGTCCTTGGGAAGCTCTCACAGTGCAGTGCTGCTCTGAAGATAAAAATGGAAATACAGATTGAATATAATCAGACGCACTTGTATGTGAGGGCTGTGCAATGCATAGATAAACATATTTAATGGTCTTCAGTTTTATTCACCAGTGGGGATTAATTGGAAAGCACTTGATGGTAACCTTGTATTAAAAATAAGAGCGCTAGCATGATTTTTGCTCCGCTCTGTCCAGCAAGTCACTTGGCCTTCCCATCTTGCTGTCCACCCACGGCCGTCCGCTGAGCCTTACTGTGGCTGGCAGCGCAGTGGAGATTGCAGCTACAGGATTGTTTTGCTCAGCACACGAACTCAACTCTCCTTTCTGTGGGGCAGAATCTTTCATGTTTCGGTGTTTCAAGTTACCATGTCTCCTCCTGGCTGACCTTCTGTTGCATTTCACAGCGTACCTGAAATCGAGCTCTTGGAGACCTCGCAGGAGACTGCTCCGCAGCAGAAGTCCGCCCCAGCCCCCGTGAAGCAGACGTGGTCATCGCTTTTGAAGAAAGAGCTGGAATTCCTGGGGGTGAGGGGGTTCCTCCCACCCTTAGTGAGCTGAGGTTGTCTCGAGGCAGAAGTATTTGATTATGCCAACGGTTTTCTCAGTGACGTTCGTGAGAAATAAAACCTTCCCCAAACTCTGGGCAGCTGAGGAGTTGGTACTAGTTGGGTCATGCTGGGAAGAAGGAAGGATTTTCTAATGAACACTACAAATTGTTGCAGCAGGAATGGCAAATAGCAGTGATGGGTGCTCAGACTCTGATATACCAGGACTGCACAAATAAAGGCATAAGGCGGGCATCGGCCATTCATGCAGTAAGCCATACCTGTGTTCAGCGCTTCCAGCAGCCAGGGAATCACTATACCCTGAGCACTTCTCAGGATGGTCAAGACACTTTTTTTTTTCCTTTCCTGTACCAGGGTTTGAACTCAGGACCTTGCATTTGCCAGGCAGGCACTTATTCTACTGAGCTATCTCCCCAGCCTTGACATCTTTTCAGTTTTTTTTTTTTTTTTTGTGCAGGGTCTCACTACACAGCTCCAACTCGTAGTGATCCCCCTGATCTCCACCTCCCTGGTGCTGGGATTACAGGAGTGCGCCACCATGCCTGGACTCCATCTCAGCTCAGCATGCCCGGGGGCAGGGCTGGTGTGGTGTGAGGTATCAGGGATCAAACCCTGGTCCCTGCGCTTACCTAAGCAAGCACGTAGTCTGCGGAGCTATATCATTGGCCCCCAAGCACTAAAACAATATTTATTCTCAATTATAAGGAAATTGATAGAATCTGGGCAAAATAGCCTCTAGCTTCATAAAACTCATGTGTTTTTCTACAGGTCACGCAAATTCTGATTGGTTTGCTATGCCTTTGCTTTGGAATAATTGTCTACTCTGTACTTGATATTTCGAACTTTGATGAAGAAGAAATGTTTTCATCATTCAATGCAGGCTTCCCATTCTGGGGAGCAGTGCTTGTAAGTATGTGACTGTTTCCGAAATGATGTAGAGCATGGATTTTGTTTCACTTGGGTTTAGCCAGTCATGCACCTCCAGTATTAAGATGATAGAATTATTTAGACCAATACGTAATATGTATATTTTCATTTTATGAAATGCATTTTCATGCATATGTTCATTAATCGCAATGAGACAGCTTCTTATTGCAGTTAACTATGGTCACACATTTGGGATACTTTTATGAAATGAGAAACCGCAGATTAGTAAGTGTTAGGTGGTTTTCCCAAGGGATGTTTAGCTAATAGAAGTATAACCTTAACTTCCAGAAGAGCCAGCTCTAGGAAAATGTCCCTCACTCTGTCTCAGTAACTCACACTGTTGTGTGAGCAGTTCATATAATTTTATCTATCAATTTTTAAAAACAAGTTTAAAGAGTTATTTCTATGAAAGCTTTGGGGACAAAATTGCTCAGGGGAAGAGGATAAGGACTCCCACCACATCCCAGAGTGCCCTCTTTGCACTGGTCCCTGCTGCGCTGCATGAGGTCCACGCTCCCCATGTGGCGTCCTTTCGTGTGCATGACACATCTTAATTCCTCGCCCCATCTGCCTTCCTCCTCCTCTGCCCTGTCTGCCAATCCCCTTCCCACTTAGGGAAGATTGCTCTTCCCTCCTTCATATGCTCTATCTTCTATTTTGCTCATTACTTGTACCTTGGATTTCTCATATAAAAGAAACCACACGATTTTATTTATTCATTTTTGCCTTTGTGAGACAGGGCCCCGCTGTGCAGCTGAGGTTGGCCTTGACCCACTTGGGAGCCCAGGCTGGTAGTCACAAGGATCCTCCTGCCTCAGCCTCTGGAGTGCTGGGGTTAAAGGCATGCATCACCATGCCTAGCAGATACCATGTGACTTTAAAACTTGTGCTTTTGATCTTTTTCCAGTTAACTTTGTGGTCTCAAGGAGCATCCGCTTTCCTACAGTGGCTCCAGCTTGCCCCGCTCTCCAGCAGGGCGGTGCTGCACTGTGCATGCTCCGCCTGTGCTTTGTCTGCGTCCATGTCGATGGGCATGGGCTACTTGCAAGATTTACTGTGCTCATTGTGCTGCTAGAAACGTAGGGAGACTCTTGGGCTTTCTGCCTTGGGTGCCCCTTAATCGCCGTGCTGCATGGGAACTCAGGACCAGCAGAGACTGCATGGTCCCACAGCTTTACTGAGGAAGAGCTGACACGCAGTAAACTGAAAGTGTGGAAGGAGTTTCATTTGCTGAATTTTTGACTCAGATGTGCCTACATATACAAATTTCAATACATCAACATAACAAGCTTATCTCTCATTCCAAAAATTTCGTGTGCTCCGTCTGAACTCTGTCCTGCTCTGCTGTGTCCCTGTCATCAATCAATCACTGGCTTCCTTCCTGTGACTGCAGTTGCAATTGCATCTTCTAGGGCTTTGTAGAAGTGGAACTGAGTAGCATGTTCTTTCTGCTTACTGTCTTCTTTCGCTTTTATCATGCAATTATCTATGCTGTCATTTGTATCCATGTTTTGTCCTAAGGATATAGTTTAACTGTAAATATTACGGTGTCTCACGCTGCTCGATACTTAGTGCTCACATCACTCAGTGAAGCCTCTTCTCGAACCTCTGTCATGTTCTATGTGACATTCCTCCCCATGGCCCTTTTCATTCCAAACATTTAGCTCACTTTGTGTCTTCCAACTCCTACACAAGCTGGATATTTTAAGGTTGTAGACATCACCAGCCCCCAGACCCACAGTCAGCCTTGCTCGGCGCCAGACAAGCGTGAAGACTTTTGGGTCCCGGAGGAGAGCAGAGCAGAGACTAACCATATTCTTTTCCCTGGCTTTGGACAGTTTGTGATCTCTGGAGTTTTGTCACTTCTCTCTGAAAGGGGAAAGGCGATATATCTGGTGAGTCACATTTTGTCTTTGTTCCTCCTCAGGGTGGTAAAAGGGTGGAGTTTTAGGAACCTGAGGGAGATGAGTCTACATCCTGGATAGTATAGTGTGGAGACGTGATTGTTTAAAATGTACGTTGCATTGGAAGCTTTTTTTTTTTTTTTTTTTTTTTGGCACCCAAACTCAGAATCAATAGAACCACAAAGCGTGTTGTGTCATCTACACAATGAAGTCTAACTACTTTGACCCTGGCCCTTAACAGTTTGTAAACATTTTCTTTGGCACATGTTTGCAGTATATAATGATGATGCTCAGGTGGGGAGTTGGGACATGTCCCTGCGTATCTGGATTCTTTCCTTCCTTCCTCCCTTTCTCCCTATTTGCAAAAAAAGATGATCTCTCTGCTTCCTCTTCTCTATTTTTATGTTATATTTACTTAGGGTTTCTCGTAGAAGAGGAAGCCTGCTATATTTAAGCTCGTGCGAGCACTAGTTTTAGAGCGTCCCCACTCGGGCAGTGTTCTTGCGTTTCAGTGGTCACGTGATCAGGCGTGTGCAGTTAAGGAGACTAATTTGAGAGCAGCCGCGCCCGTGCTATTTGTCCGTCTGTCTAGTGCTCGGGCACAAGCTAAGCGCACGGCCTGCCCCTGAGCTACCTCCCCTGCCATGCGCCATCCTCACTGAAGGCAGCCTAATAGGACAGCAGCAGATGCCCCTTCAGCCGGCGGTTGATCTTCCGGATTTCCCCTTTGAGCCCATAGTTCCACCAGTGCGGAGTCTTAGGTGCGGCCTGCCCTGAAGCGCAGAGTAGACTCCTGGCTGTGCGGCCGGCACGGGCCCAGGCGTGCTCTTCTCTCCCCAGGCTAGGGGGCGGCTGGGGGCCAACACCCTCAGCAGTGTCGCTGCGGCCACCGGCATCATCATCCTTGTCCTCAACCTCAGCAACAGCTCAGCATACGTCAGCCACTGCGACAGACTCGCTGAGAGTGACGATTGCCTTGTGGCTTCATTTGTTATCGTACGTATTTCTTGTGGAAAGGCTAAAATCTCCGGTCCCTCTTTTTCTTTTCTGTGGTCACAGTCCTATCTCTGAGGACCGTTCTGTAGGTCCATGCTGTTGATACGGGGGGACCCTGACCCCTCCTCCTCCTCCTGTCACCGGATAGGGTCCTCCACCTGGTGGTCTCAGAGGCCCGGTCTGGTTTCCCTATGTCGGTGTCACTTCCTGACCACTGATTATGTGGGGGTTGGGGGTGACGAATGCAGGGTCTGCTGGGAAGGAAGGCGCTTTGGGGACACCTGTGACACTTCTCGACTCTTGCTGGCTGTTGTCCCACAGGAAATTGTGTGCATGATGCTGTTTCTCACCATCCTGGAGTTTTGCGCTACGGTGTCGCTCACCATCTATGGGATTGGAGAAGAATGCCGGGGGGAGAAGGTAAGCAGGAGCCAGCGTGGGCGCGGACAGCACGCAGGATGACTCGAGCCCAGGTGTTACCAGTGTGGTCTGGATTTCCTGGGGAGTGCTTTTACTAGAAAATGATTTCTCTGTTTCCTGAACTTGGCTTCCGTGACTTTTGCTGAGAAGTAGTAGAGATCTTACAGCACACCCCCCAGAGTGGTAGGAAGGGGTCAGCACACCCCTCGAGGGTGAGGAAAGGGAGTCTTTACACTTCGAGCGTTTGTGCAGTTCTGCAAGTGTGGTGAGCTCAAGAAACACTGGCACTGGAGGACCTTCAGGCCTCTGGCCCTAGTTCTTGCACCACGGAAGCTTCTTATACTCATTCCTGTCCCCCCTTTTCTTCTCCTCTTTCCCTTATATTGCTCCAAATCCTCAAGCTTTCCTTACTTTGTAATTCATGAGTAAAACTGCATTTCTGCCCCTTCACTCACCCATCGCGTCCTTGGTAAGAATCACCAGGGCGAGCTGCGCATATGCTGCAGACCAGCGGGCGAGGCACAGGGCCTCTGTCCATCTGCTTCCTGACGTGGTCTATGTCCAGCCTTGCTGGCCACTCTCCTCCAAAGTTGAGTAAGACAGCGGATGTGCCGCAGTTCAGGGGCAGACGCAGAACCCGCGCACCAGCCTGCCTGGCATGGCCTGATAGCTCTCGGGTCCAGCGGGCCAGGAGATCTGACGTGGTGTTCTGGAGATGGAGGGATGATGAACAGCAAGGTGTCGGAACCGAGAGCAATGGAACCAGGGCTTGGGAGCAGGTCTCGCAGAAATGGAAAGTGCTTGGTGGTTGACACAAAGCGACCTTTTCTTCCAGCTTCCAGATGATCGTCTTTATGAAGAATTAAACATTTATTCACCCATTTATAGTGAGCTGGAAGAGAAAGGGGAACCATCTCCTGCGGATTCGTAAGGACTGAGCACCCAGGACGTTCTGAGTCCCAGTGCAGGGTCCAAGAGCCAGACCCTGCTAGGAGGCATCTGCAAGAATGGCTGTTCTCTGTGCAGTCTGTCCATTCTGCATTAGAGCGCTCTTCTGGATATCAGAATTTTGTTTGCTTCTTTTATTTTGTTTTTAAAATGTATTGTTGTGTCAGGGTCTCACTACACAGCTCGGACTCATAGTGATCCTCCTGTTTTCAGCCTCCCTAGTGCTAGGATTACAGGCGTGCACCACCACGCCTGGACTCTGTGGCTGGCTCAGCCCCTGCCCTGGGAGCAGGGCTGGCCCAGCATGTGGTGCCGGCGGTTGAACTGAGGTCCCTACACTTGCCTAAGCAGGCGCTTAGTTCGCTGAGCTATCTGGCTGTCCCTGTTTGCTTCTTTTTAAGAAAATTCTTATTTTTGTTATAGTCCTTGTTTGTAGCACACAACGATCACGTTCCTGAGGGGCGTGGACACCGTGCATCTCCACCCTTGATGAGTCCTATCCTTCCCTCTCTCTGTCCGTCTGTCCCTCCCCCTCCCTCTCCCTCCCTAGTTTCACTGTCTCTGATCATCTGTGTCCCCCTTTCCCTCCCCTGTAGACACGACAGATCCCCATTTTCTATTCTAATCTCACACTCATCCCTCTTGGAAGTCAGCATGGAATCAATGAGCTGCACTGTGTGTCTGTAACTGTGCAAGAAGGGAAAGCAAGGAGGCTGAGTGCTGAGCTAAACTCTGAGATCTGGTGAAGCCTACTTCTTCCTTCTCTTCAGAGTTGCCATAGTACAGGACTGCGACACCTGTGCCCCGTGCATGTGCACACCGGCCATGCAGCTGTAACTTACAGGTTGCAGGTTGTGCTATGTGCAAACATGTGTGCCTTCCAATCACAGTATGCTTTTTGTGGAGACACAAATATTTATAAAAATCTTTAGTCTGACCAACCTAAAGGGCTTTCATTGGTGCAGTGTTGTTCAGTAGCCTTTGTGGATTGGCGAATAGGTGAGGGGAGTTGCTCAGTATCTGAAGGAAAGGACAGGTGAAAGCAGAGAAGCTGTAAGAGCAGAGCTCGGTTAATGTGACATTATTTAGGCATAAAAGAGACTAATGACACCCTGGAGGCAATGTATTCAGTGGTAATGGACAGACCCCATCTAATGAAATGATCATAGCTAAGTCATGCATAAAGGAGGGGTAGATCTTATGAACAGATTAAAAATTACAGGGTAAAGTTAGACAACTGATGTTTAATGTCAAAGGAGAACCCTTAGTAGTGTTGAAAAGTGGTAGATGTTCAGAAACATGCATGGTGGAGAACGAGTAGGGCTAGACATAAACTAAACTTGGGTGTAGATTTTCATTTTGAGGAGAAGGCAAATGCAATTGGAGTGTGCATGATGGTGCCCAGCACTGGGCTCCAGTCCTGGTATCACTGGATGGCTGAGGCTTGGAGCCATGGTATGGGGCTTGGCTATTAGATGGGGTCTGGAAGTGGGAGGGCGTGGAGGAAGGAGGGCATAAGGTAAAGTACAAAGGATGGAAATAGGGTATGTATCTGCACCTATTCCCCACAATAAATATATTTAATATTGCTAATAAACATAGACTAGTAAAAATTAAAAAATTAGAGAAGCAACTTGACACTCTAAGAGAATTCTTTTGAGACTGGAGTAAAGCTAGATTTAGCTTCACATGCCTAGAATCAGAAGGGGAAAATGAAAATGAGACTGGGGAGACACAAAGTTTAGTCAGAACATGTAAAACAGTGGAGGGAGGCCAAGTGTGGAGAAAGACAGAACGACAAGAAAACAGTTGATGCTCAGAGATGGAGAAAGTGGGCATGGATGGGCAGAGGGCCTCATGGTCAGTCCACTCAGGGGACCGGTGAGAAAGCAGCAAGAGTCATGAGCACAGAAAGTTCCAAGATGATTTCCATGGCTCTTGTCATGGGCAGATGAACAAAATGGGGGAGGGAGGGAGAGATGGAGGGATGGAAGGAGGGAGGCAGAAAGATTGTTAGCAAAATGATAGAGGATTGGGTGTAGAGGGTCAGCAGGAAAAGTGAAGCCAAGTGAAATGATTTCGTGGCTCTTGTTTTCATATTTAAAACAATAAGAAAGCAGTTCATGACCTTAGCTCAGGTAGAAAAGCTCTGAGGAAGCTGAAAACTGTGCTGTCGGTCACCTCGCTGTCACTCAGCACACCCACACTCCCGGCACACAGAGAGCTGCTGGTGTGCTCTGCACAGTGATTTTCCTTTTTTTTTTTTAAACTGAAAATTGAACCTAGGACCTTCATGCCTCATGAGCCACATCCTCAGCCCTTTGTAGTTTTTCATTTTGAGGCAACATCTCAGTAAATTGCTAGATGGCCCAGCCTAGGCTTGAACCTGTGATGCAAGCTTTCAGTCTTTCATTGCCCGAAGTTGTCTTCTAACTTTCAACTTACAGGTCGCCTTCTTCACCTGGCCACTCCGTAGGCCCTCTCTTGGCCCAGCCTTAAGTTCTCTTGCTCAGCTGCTGCAGCCCAGAATGAGGTGTGGTCGTTAGCAGCATGTCTGTGGTCTCCGTGTGTGCCAGCATTTGTCTCATACACTGGACGTTTGCAACTTGATTTCTTGTCTGTTTGTGTTTGCATGTGAGGTTGAGAGACTGAGTGAGGACAGTAGAGAGTGGAGCATCAGCTAGGCGGGGCCAAAGAACAGGAAGCTCCAGAGCCCTCAAGATCACAGGGTACAACTGACTTGGGAAGCAACACTCACCGCCCCTTTTTAATGAATAAATGATGTTAAAGTTGAAAGGAAACGTGACTGTCATTTAGTCCTACCTGAGGAATGGATAAAAGATATGTGGCATTTGTTTATAATGGAGTATTACTCAGCTATGAAGAAAGATAAACTTGAGGCTTTAATAGATAAATGGATGCAACTAGAGGCTGTGCTTATAAGTGAAATCAGCCGGCCTCACATGTGTAAACACTATATTATCTCCCTAATATAAGAACACTGTAAGAGTGAATAAAATTTGAAAGGTACAATAGATATAGTGAAATGGAAAGAAACTGGACATAAAGAATAAACAATGGAGACGAGAGAAAGGAGAAAAACAAAGAAAAAATATAGAAGGGGAAAAACCATGTAAGTATGTACACAGGATAGCAGAGATGATTGTACTACAAATTTCTGTGAGGTTTGAAGGTGGTAGTTAATGTTTAAAATCTTTTACTCTGACCAACTCTAGATGCTAATACCTGTAATCTGAGCAGCTTCATTGAGGACAGCAGCATGCAACATAATAACCAGCGTTGAATACTTTTCATCTTGTTCTTTTAAATGTGCATCATCTCTAATGTCACATCTATTATTTTTATACTCTCATTAAAATTCATAAAAATGAAAAGTAAAAAGGACAAGGAAAAAAGTTAAGGTTTATGGAAAGGAAGAGTTAATGTTTAACTGCTTACTCAGTCTTATATGCCTGTATCTAGTAATCTGAGTGACAAATTTGATGATAATAATATGTAATATGACAATATTACATAATTTTGTTGTTAATTTTCTGTTCTTGTTTTGAAATTCTGTACCATTTTTATTGTACTGCATTGCTTTGTTTTTGTCTTTGTTCTTGTTATATATTTTTTTCCTTCTTTAAAAGAAAAAAAAATTAGTCCTAACCCTAATTTATTTGCTGTGCTATTTGAAGTTGAGAAAGAGGTCTGTCTTTGTAGACCTACATTGGTGAGGGCTTTCCAGACAGAACAAATAAGCGATGATAGCTAGCTTGTTAGCCAGACGATAGTTAAGGGAACTTAGGACAAAATCAAAACAGAATAAACGAATCCTACACTGCTGGGGAGAATGTAAACTAGTGCAACCACTATGGAAATCAGCGTGACGATTGTTCAGTAAACAAAAGTAGGAACTCCACTGGGCCCGTCTACTTCCCTTCTAGACCTCTTCCCAATGAGCTCAAATCATTCAATTTAGGGGATGGTTTTAAGTACTTATCGGTGCTGAGCAGTCCCAAGACAGCTCATAGAGCTAGGTACAGGAGAGAAGCAGTATGCACGGAGAGAGAACTCAGTGCGAATTTATACCTGGTGGTCTCCAATACTATTATGGTTCTCAACATAGAAACCGGACCAGAATCTAATATTAAAATTTATAAGCCTTTTATTACTTGGCCTGGGACTGCTTGACCATACTCACGCAGGACAGGAGAAACAGCAAGGAGCCTTAGAAGTATAGAGGTTTTAAAGCTAGAGACCACATCCTGTTTGGCAAACAAATTGGTCATCTAACACAGACAGAACAGCACCTTTAGGGATAGCGTGACCATTACTCAACATACATTTTTTTCTGGGAGCGCTGTTTAGTTCCCGTTTAACATACATCTGCGTACGCGTGGTCTTGACTACCACAGCAATGTGTTCCAGTTGGTTAGCAGCAACACCTTAGTTATTTTGTTCAGTTAGAAACACTTCAACCTTTACTTTGATTTATTTTGTAGGGCTGTTTTGGGAACTCTTTCTACTGATGATTTATCAACAGTACACCAAGCCTCTTGCGGTCTTACAAGGAAGCAGGGTCACAGAAAGTTGAACAGAGTAATTCCTCACATTTAGTTTTACATTAACTCCTCACAGTCCCCACTGGTTCTTGTACATGATTCAGATCCTTGATTTAGTAAGCATACTGGCCCTCGTGTTCTGTGAAAGGTTCATAATTTGATCTTGATACCATTAGTTTTATAGACTGTACTCGGTCTTGTACATATTTTACCAAACAGTTAATAATGTGGGGTCCTACAGTTAGGCCTAAGAGACACAGGGGATCAGGCCCCATGAAGGCAGGCATCAGATCATTTATCTAAGGAGACATCTCTGGCTGACTTCCTCCATCTACCAATCAAGCTTGGCAATGAAATAAAATCTCTGTAACAATGGGTCTGCTGGACTAGCTTCCGGCTTGGTGTCTCTGGGAGGAGAACTCTTGAAGTGGGCAGAGTCAGCTAGCCCTCTGGAGTCGGAATGGTCTTTATGCTCTTGGCCAGCATGAGATCAGAGTCTGAGCAGGTGGGTTTTTCTGGAACTCGAGGTGGGAGGACAGGCAGTATCCCTAG